TACAGCTCATCTGTGGCAGGACAGCAGAAGTAGAGGAATTTGCACATGTCTGGTCATGCCATGAAATGCTGAACGATTGTGACATTGTTCAACACTTCTCCGCCTCCCCAAGAAAGTTTACTTCAAAGTGCTGTATGTTTCAACATTAGTTTATGGTCCCAAAACACTGACCATGTCCAAAAGAATGTGATCCCAGATATAAGAAGCTGAACAGATCTTTTTCCATGGGTGGCCATACTTTCATGATAAAATAAGGAACACCTCCTTCTAGAAGTTTTCTAGGAAGTTCCCACTGGGAAGAGACTCCGGGGGAGACGCAATAATTTCTGGAGAAAATATGAATCTTCTTTGGCCTCGTAATGTATTGGGATCCCAAAGGTGGATCTGGAGAGCGTTGTTGGGGATTGGGATGTCTGTGTTTCCCTCTTTGGCCTGTTGTCTTTGTGACCCAACCACTGATAAGTGGCAGAAAATGGATGGAAATATAAAACAACTATAATACATGAGGTGAGGTTAATTAAATGTTATAAGGTAAATTTAATGTTAAGTTTACCTGTATGGGTGTGAGTCCTGCTATCTCTGGTGTGCCAGTTCCCGGGGCAAAACCTGGATCTAGACCATCAATGTCAAAACTAAGGTAGACCGGTCCGCTGCCCATCTGAGTCCTGACCTCAGACATTAATGGTGCAAGGGATTTGAACCAACACTCTTCCGCCTGGACCACACGGAAACCCTGGAAAAACAAGTTTGTAAATAACAAAGTCCATGCTCAAAAGTTTGTAAATATTTATTAGATGCCTCCATACACAACCAACTACAACCAACTATCAATTAAGCCAATTAAATTATAAAATTAGTCCAGAATGTTAAACCAGTTTAATGTGATCCTAGGTTGATTATCAGGTCCAATAATGTATACAGGGTACCTGAGCCCGGCTCCATTCATACGCATCTGCAGAGTATCCTGAACCTCGCAGACCAATCTGAACCACTCTCTTGCAGTCCAGAAGCCCTTCCTCCACACAGCGTCTGAACGGAGTCCCATGACCGATCTTCTCCCCCAGTATCATGTCACTGGTGTCAGCATGAGCATCCACATGAATCAAACCCACAGGACCGTGCCTGACAAATGATTGCACAAAGAAACCAATGTAGAACTGAACACAATTATGTTCAAGACTTAGTTCATCATCCACAGAGTAGTTCACATGATGCAAGGAGTTATATTAACTAGTTGCATGTTGCTCAAGAAGAATCGTTGTCAAATCTGAGAACTTGCCTCAAGGCATGTTGCTTCATTTATGTCATGCATTATGAGAAAAGGATGATTGTTGTGGAGTTCAGCTGTATCCGACTATGCTTCTGAGAACTCTCGTACAAGTCCTCCAACACTAACAGAACTTGTAAACACAGTGGTGGTGCACTCGATTAAGAAATATGTTCATCCAGAACCAGAGCAGTGATGTGCAGTCATGTGAGGCAGTGCTGCACCTGTCATCATGACAAGCCATACTAAAAATGATAAGAAAAAATACAATTGGCCACTTGACTGTTCTATAAAACTGTTTTCTGAATTATTTCAACACTTCAATGGTCAAAATCGCAGAATTTACACATTGTCTGTTCAAATATGGAAGAAATGCCAGGTGAGGCAGTGTAGTGCTCTGGGTCACCTCTGGGGGTGCTGTGTCATATACAATATATGAAGTAGGCAGTTGGAACATGACCATTACTGTCTCTCTTTGTATCGCCAATATACATGTTTGATTACACATGCGCTGCACATGTATTGTACTTAACGTGTGGGTCAGGTTGGTGTCGGGCTTTTAATTGCATCAGGAACGCGCGCGGCTGACGATCCAATATATGCAAACATGGCTTGCCATACTGCACCAGTAGCACATGGCCATTTGACAGTGGGCTGACCAGCCAGTTGAAAGAGGTAAAAGGTTCAGTTAAGCTTCAGATGGACCACTGCCAGTGATCCATCAGCCCAAATGGACGTTCATTCAGCCTCTGCACTCAGCGGACGCACGTGGCCGACAACCCAAACAGGTGAGATCACAAAATATCTGACGTCAGAGCAGGATGCAGTCAGAAGCAGGGGAAGCATTTAATGCTCTTTGAGGACTCCTCAGCTCCTGTCTTCTGCCCCCTCAGCCACACACGTCTGCCAACCGTTAATAATAGTCAGTGGCATAAACAGTCGAAGCTTAATTAAAAATGTCAGTTTTTTTCGGGTTCGGACCTGTAATTACTGTTAATTCATTGGATTGGGTGGGGTTTGAAGATGATGGCTGTGGGCTGGGGCCAGGTCGGTTCTGATTAGTTGGACCAGAGTGCAACTCTAATGTGTGTGACATATTTATTATTTTTAATTTATCATAAATGCTCGATAAATATACACAGGGTGAGGCAGAATATACCTTGCTGCACCGATAGGGGGCAGTGCTGCCCCATAGGGACAATGAAGCAGGTTTTTATTTTTTAATCTTTATTTAGAACTTCACATCAAATACAAGAATCTAAAAAATACACACCAAAAAAAACATTGATCATATCAAAAAAGGAAGAAAAAAAGAATAAGCAAACAATAATAAAATAAGAATAAAAAAAAAAAAAAGATAAATAAATGCGAGTTACAAAGTTAAGTTGCATTTATTACAGATATTTTTTGGTTTTATAGCCTTTTTGTTATTTAAGTAGGAGATTGTGTCAAGATAAAGTTTTACATCCATTACAAAAGAGATTGAAAAAAAAGGGTTCCTGTGCATTATTTTACTTTTATGGATATAGAACTTTGCAAGAAACAAGATCAGATTGATAATAAATACGTTGGAAAAGTTTTTTGTCTTGAAATCTATGATACCAAACAGAACATTTTCAAAATAGAGAAGGAAACCTGGTTGGATATTTTTTTTTTTCATTTAGCCTTTATTTATCCAGGTTAATCTCATTGAGCCACGAGAACTCATTTTCAAGAGAGACCTGTTTAGGGAGCACATGGTGGGGTTAAGGGCCTTGCTCATGGGCCCAGAGTGGGGCGAATGAGGGTGGGGGCAAGTGTGGGTGTTTCACCTACCCCACCCACAATTTTGATGTTGTCGGGGCCGGGGCGTGAACCGGCGATCTTTGGATCACAAGCCCACCTCTCTAACCTCTGCGCCACCACTCCCCCATATTATTGGATATCAGAGCAACAACATCCTTCCAAAAGTTCTGTGAGTATGTACACTTCCAAAAAAGATGAACAGATGTTTCTGGATAACGCTTACAGAATGAACAGGAAATATCAATATCAGCTTTGTATTTCTGAAAAAAGTGTTTGGTTGGGTAAAATTTATGAATTAATTTAAAATAAACTTCTTTGACTTTATTAGTGAGAAAAAAAAATTGCAGGAGAGACCAAACTTTTTTCCAATTAAGATTCTGCACAAAGGTGTTCCAATAGGAAACACAAGATGGAGATGAAACCAGATGTTCTTGAAATAAAGAACGGATTTTGGAACTGACGCCTTTTAGTTGAACTGAGAAACAGAACGTACCAACAGCAGACTGCTTAGGGTCAGGAGGACTCATAGACTGGATAGAAGAGAAGTCAACATCTTTAAACAACATGAGCAAACCAGATGGGAGAGCATCAAAGACAATACTATATTCTCTTGGAGCGACAGGAACTTTGTACTGAGTAAGAAACTCTTCATAGCTATAAAGAAGACCTTTGTTATTAAATAGCTGATTAACTTGAATAATACCATAGTTAAACCATTTCTGATAAAATAACAACCTGTTTCTGAATATTATGTTAGAGTTGTTCCAGATGTAACATCTCTGCAGAGAAAAATTATGTTTATGGATAAGGGACCAAGCTAAAAGTACCTGTTGGTGGAAGTTGGAAAGCTTAGTGGGTATTTTTGGAATGCTGTATTTACAAAGGAGAACAAACTCTAAACCACCTAAATGTGAAAAGACATGCTGTGAAATGAAGTTCCAGATAGACTTTGGGTTTTTAAGATAATTTTTGATCCATTTTATTTTAAAAGTGTTATTAAAGGAGTCAAAGTTAATAAAATGTAGCCCACCAGACTTATCATTGTTTAAAATGACGGATTTACGCAAATAATGTGTTTCGTTTTTCCACAAGAAGTCGGAGAGCGTTCTGTCGTCAGATTTACAAACTGGTTTATCAACATAAAGAGACTGGGGAGACTGGGCAGTATAGCCCAGACGGGACAATCCTTCTGTTTTAGTGAGCAGGACTCTACCTCTCAGGGACAGATCCCTTTGTATCCCTTTGTTTTTTTAAATTGTGCTCTATAAATAAATAAAATATGACTTGTAGACAACTGTTAAAAACCTTTTTAGACTTTTCAATGACAGGAGTGAAATTAACAATACTTCTGTTTTTACCATTCTTAGTGATACTGATACCCAGGTATGTTACAGAATCTTTGACAGGGATGCCACAAATACAGGAGTGTGTGCAATTATTCAATGACAACAGTTCACACTTATTAAGATTAAGAGACAGGCCAGAGGCCTTAGTGAAACTTTCAACGGCACTAATTGCTAGAGAGACGTGTGACACGTCTTTTAAAAACAAAGCTGTATCATCACCCAGCTGGCACCTGCAATATTGATTCCTTGTATGGGGCTGTTTCTGACATGAACATTTAGAAACTCGGCTGCTAACAGAAAAAGATAAACAGATAGTGGGCGTAATTGTCGAACCCCTCTATGGAGACTAAACCTGGGGGAACGTACCAAAAGCTTTTAGCGTTTCAATAATAATATAAGCGTTTAATGCTGCTGTCACCTTCTGCATACAGAGTTTGTACACATCTATAGAAAAAAATCACCAAAACCAAATCTTTTCAGTGTAGTAAGCATGAATTCATGCTCTAAGGTGTCAAACGCTTTGTGAAAGTCTAAAAATAAAATTAAACTATTGTCCTGTATGAGTTCAGAATAATCCAGAATATCTAAAATTAGTCTAATATTATTAGAGATATGGCGTTTTTCATGAAAACAGATAGACACCCGTCAATGATGGGGTCTAAAACAGATTTAATTCTATTGGCTAAAATTATTGCTAAAACTTTGTAATTGTTGTTTAATAAAGAGTTGTCTAGGAGGAGAGGGTCTTTCCGTGGTTTAGGAACTAAGGTAATCACACCCTGATGTAATGCAGGAGGCAACAGTCCTTTACGGATGCTCTCAGTGAAAACTTCTAAGAATGGAGCGAAACTAACAGAGAACTTCCTGTAGAATTCTGACGTGAGCCCGTCAGAGCCTGGTGATTTATTTAATTTTAACAGGCTTAAAGGACTGATGACTTCATTTAAAGTTAATGGTCTATCACAAAAATCTGCATCATCTTCTACTAGTTTTCTGTCATCAGAGAGAGAGAGTCAAAGACATCGGTGTTTGACTGCAGACAGAATCTGGATGTGTAAAGGTTGCTATAAAAATCTGTGCAGAGTTTAGCCATTTCTCTCGGGTCCTCTACAACCAAACCACCGATTCTTAACGGTCTTACAGAGTTATTGTTTGACTGTTGTCTCTCCAGCCTAAAAAAATATGCAGAGCTCTGCTCACCTTTCTCAAGCCATTGTCTACGTGATCCAACATATGCTCCCTCAGCTTTCCTTTTTTAAATCCCGTCCAGCCTAAGCTGCATCTCATCAAGTTCAGCTTTTTCATTGACATCTAGAGAATCAGCAGTTTTTGAAGACAGAAAAGTGATTTTTTTGAACTACCTCGTATTCCTCTGAAGTTCTTTTTTTAGCCAAGTCACTGCTGTATTTCCTGAGAAATTTTGAAATATCATGTTTTAACAATTCCCAGTTAAGACCAAAAGCATTTTCCTTTGAGGCTTAGTTCCAGAAATATGAAATAATGTTTTCCAACTTTAAACAAACCTCTTTGTGGTTGAGGATGCTGCTGTTAAGCTTCCAGTATGATGATTTAAAATGATTAGAAGCTAGTGTTAATGGGATACTACTATGAATAGATTTATGATCAGATAGGGGTGAAGGAATAATGCTTGCAACCCTGTTACTTATTTCTTTAGAAATGAGCCAATAGTCGATCCTCGACTGGCTTGATAAGGATTTATTAGAGGACAATGAAGCAGGTGCAGTCTCTGTGCGTTCTTCTGTTACACAGAGGGGCGGGAGTGTAGCAAATGTATAACGGTACACTTGTTTAAATTTGTTTAGACAAAATGGAAGACTGAAAACATAAAGTCAGAACAGGACCGATCCAGGACGACTCTCCTCCTCGGCGAGTATCTCCATTGAAGCAGCCAGACAACAATGAAGGCAAACCACGACGAGTTTTACAACAGAGATATTCGTGGAGAATGATAGGTGCATGGACTTCATCTTAAAATAAACATAATACATGTAGGTTTTTTTATTTAAAAAGAGAGGATCCCATCCCCCCAAAAAAAGTTTGACCTTACATTAAACATTTAGTTTTTCTTGCCATCATTGTTGAACAGTACGGAGTTGATTAAAGCATAATTAGATGCCTTTTTAAAAGCAACAAGATCTTAAAAAAGAAGAGAATAAACATCTTATTCTTCCACCAACACAACACGACTGTCAGAATGCAGATCTGCTCATTGTTCCTTGGGTATTTTGGACTGGAAAGATGCAGCTTTTAACTTTTTTGCTGTGGAACCTGAAACACGTTTATATGAGTAATAAATTATATTAATTGTGACTTATTATAGGTGTTCAAATAATTTAAAAAAGGGAGGAAATGTGAATTAAACAAACTGTTTCATGTGTTATTTGTTCTCTTAATTTGTTGCATACCTGAAAAAATCTATTCTGGTGTAAAATGCTACTTTTATACTAAAATAAAATACTTACTTTTCAGCAACTGCTTGCAGAATTGGGTATGAAATTGTGTGATCGCCACCTGCAGACACCAACATTTGCTTAATACCCATCTGAGCACGATCCACAGTTTACAGGCTGTTGAAATGGATAATGATTGTACAGATGTTTCAGAGTTCATTTTGATACACTATAATTTATTTACCACCTCTGTCTGTGGATCAAAGTGGAAAGATCATGTGAAGGAGGCACGTTCTCACCCATAGTCAGAGGGATGCAGCCAGCAGCCGCAATCTTTCTGTAGGTCTCCCTGATGCGCCTGCAGGTGTCCTTCAGATCAAACACGTTCACGTTTACGTCCCCGATGTCAGCGACCACCAGGGACTCATAAGGTGCCGCCCGGGTGCCACTGTTGTAAGTCCTCAGCATGACAGACTCAACTCTGATCTGCCGTGGACCAAACCTGTGGAGAGCGATGAGAGCCGGCAACATCAAACACACGGGTGAATTTTTGAAGTTCTTTAATTCAAGAATTTCTTTAACTAAAATGGTGATCTAAAAACTTTGTCTATACGAGACTTAAGTATATACCAACAATCAGTTTCTTATTTTATAGGAAATATGCTTGAATACGTGATGCACATGACCCACAACAGAAAACATGTAGATTTCCTGTTTGAATGAGTTGTGTCTTTCCACACACATGTAATGCCATAAAATGTGCTTTGGGCTTTTTGTCCTTCTTCCTTAAAACAAAAGTCAAATGTACATCTTAAATTTGAACAAAACATTTACAGACCGGATTCCAAAAAAGTTGGGACACTAAACAAATTGTGAATAAAAACTGAATGCAATGATGTGGAGGTGCCAACATCTAGAATTCCCTTTAAGCGTTGGGCCTCACTGGCTCCTAAGTGGCTGAAGAAAAAGATATTTGGGAGCCGATTTCCCGCTCTTAAAGTAATTTATACGGACCGGGTGGGGCCCACACAGCAGGTGGGCGTGGACTAAATTTTTTCAGTGTAATGCTTTCGCATAACGGGATAACCCATCAGCGACAGCCTTAAAGGGCTACGCTTAAACTCATAGAATCTGGGGTTACAGTACGTAACCAACATTTTTAATACAAAAAACGCCAACCTTCAAATAATCATGTTCAGTTATGCACTCAATACTTGGTCGGGAATCTTTTTGCATGAATGACTGCTTCAGTGCGGCGTGGCATGGAGGCAATCAGCCTGTGGCACTGCTGAGGTGTTATGGAGGCCCAGGCTGCTTCGATAGCGGCCTTAAGCTCATCCAGAGTGTTGGGTCTTGCATCTCTCAACTTTCTCTTCACAATATCCCACAGGTTCTCTATGGGGTTCAGGTCAGGAGAGTTGGCAGACCAATTGAGCACAGTAATACCATAATAGTGGTTTTGGCACTGTGAGCAGGTGCCAGGTCGTGCTGAAAGATGAAATCTTCATCTCCATAAAGCTTTTCAGCAGATGGAAGCATGAAGTGCTCCAAAATCTCCTGATAGCTAGCTGCATTGACCCTGCCCTTGATAAAACACAGTGGACCAACACCAGCAGCTGACATGGCACCCCAGACCATCACTGGCTGTGGGTGCTTCACACTGGACTTCTGGCATTTTGGCATTTCCTTCTCCCCAGTCTTCCTCCAGACTCTGGCACCTTGATTTCTGAATGACATGCAAAATTTGCTTTCATCCGAAAAAAGTACTTTGGACCACTGAGCAACAGTCCAGTGCTGCTTCTCTGTAGCCCAGGTCAGGCGCTTCTGCCGCTGTTTCTGGTTCAAAAGTGGCTTGACCTGGGGAATG